TCCTCTTCGAGTCTCAAAAAAAAAAAACATTGACCAGAGTTGTCATGACGGTGAAAGATTCACTGACACCGTTTCGCAGTTAACCGCTGTGAGTGAAATTCCTGTGCAAAGTCACGTGATCGCAGGTTGTCATAAAATGTGGACGTGTGCAGGATCTGCTGATGCTGGTACAGTTTGGGTACGTCCTGATGACGGTGGCCGGTGCTGCCCTCTACCCACCCTGCGTGTTCAACCCCCTATGCAGTTGCTCCAAATCGTTGCCCGACCTGGGGCTCGTCTTCTGTGAGGACGTGCCCCTGCTCCGAATCCCACCCGCTATCAACAGCTCCAAGGTGTTCATGCTGCACCTGGAGAACAACGGGCTCCGCTCCGTCGAGCCCTACTTCCTGCAGGGAACAGGTTCGTGACCCTGACGGTACTTCACCGAGTACAGCAAGGATGGTTCTCGTGGCTACGCGGGGTGACGGGCTCTCACGCCAGACTCTGTCTGTCTGCAGGACTGTACCGCCTCGAGATCAGTCGGAACCTGCTGCCTACAGTCCCAGACGAGGCGTTCTTTGGACTGGAGCGCTCCTTGTGGGAGCTGAAACTTCAGTACAACGACCTGACCGATGTGCCCAGCAGGGCCTTGAGGCAGCTCCAGAAACTTCGGCTCCTGGACCTCACAGGTCAGCGCCTCTCAGCTCACGAGCGACAGACAACTGTCGCCAGTCGTCAGGAATTCGCACTCACGGGAGTTGAGTCCCATCATAGAACGGACAGATTTCAATTTCATTGCGATAACAGAGAGAAACAAATCTCTCCTTCTACGTTCTTGCTTTACTTAACGGCGCTTTCGACAACTCGGGTTTCAAATCTTTGTAGCTCTTTCCAAGCAGGGCCAAACATAAACACTAGTACTAACTCCGAAACGTCGCGTTGTCTGGATATCACTCTTTCGTATTCGGCAGGTTTCGAGTTAAAATCTCGACCGATCCGTCCTCACTGGGAATATTCGCGGGCTTCCGCATTTCCTCACGGAAAGTTCCGAGATGGTACCTTAAAATAGACCACGACCGCTTCCACAGCCTTTCAGATACGTTAATCAGTAATCATCCTCACATTCGACTCCACACCGCCAGAGCTGCAGGCATTAGCTTAGCTTTTGAGACATTCCAGGTAACAGTTCACATACGGGCGACAGAATCTCCTCTTCATCAGTGTGTGTGTCATTTTGTGGGCGCAGGAAATGACATCGGAGAACTGGCGACGGAGAACTGGCGAGGGTTGGAGAACTCGCTGCAGACGCTCATCCTGGCGGACAACGCGCTTCGCTCACTCCCCGCCGAAGCGTTCAGCTCACTAACACTCCTGGAGATACTCGATCTTCGCACTAACCACTTGTCGGAACTGAACCTCGACGTGTTTCGCTCTGGCCCTTCCCGTCTGTCGAGGCTCCTGCTGGCAGACAACCAGCTAAACAGCGTGCCCTACCAGCAGGTCGGGACACTGCGCACGCTCAAAACACTGGACCTAGCCAGCAACAACATCGAGAGGCTACATTCAGAGCACCAGGCGTCGGGAGCTCCCCTGTCTCTGGACACACTCAGCCTGGACTTTAATAAGATCGAACTTCTGCCGTCTAGGGCCTTCCAGCACTTCGACATTCTCAACAAAACGTCTCTAGACGGCAACCCTCTCGTCACGATAGAGG